CTCTCTATTCTTCCTTTTTCCCTAGGAACCAGAACTTTCTTTTCTCTTTTTTTACAAGTTTCTGCCATAGGACACACACGCTCACTGGAGAGAGACAGAGCCAGTGAGAGAGGAAGTGAGAAATCACCCCCAGGGAGGATGGCCATGTCACAATCCCTTCTCCATTCTCCTTTTGGGATCTTGGGCACACACACGCACGCACCCAGCATGACTTTCAAGCCACCGAGTCTGGGACTCGAATGCAGCTGGCCGTGTAGGAGTCTAGTGACATAACTATTACGTCACTGCTGGCCCCAGAGCCAGCGTCTTCTCAGACACTGTCCTCCTTAGTCACTGTGCTCATGGTCTATCTTCCCACCAGAATGGCAGCTCCCACCGAGGGTAGAGGGACCGTCTTTGCTTCACTGAGACACCTCAAGCCCTTGAGCATTTCCAGAAACAAATGTGTTCAGAGATGGGATTTAAGAGGCTGCCCCGGGGAGGCTGGACTGCAAAGGCCTTGTGGGTGAGAGGGGTTTGAGTCCAGTGCAAAGAGAAGGCCTGAAGGGTTCCCAGGGAGGAAGAGTCACGGTCTGAGTTAAGTTTCCAAGGACCCACTCTGGAGTCTGTGACTGGAAGAGCCTGAAGGACAGCGAGTTACTGTGGGCACCCAGGCATGGTGCTGGGCTGGTAGGGGGCATGCAGAGTAGCGGGTGGACTCGAGGGTCCCTGGGAGCGTAGCTCTCCCGGCTCTGTGGTGAGCAGACCTGGGCTTGCAGGAAGACGAGGTGGGCAAGGCTGTCTCGCAGACTCCTGGGCAGAGCCATAGGGCCAGCGCCGAGCCATCTGCTGAGGTGGGAGAGATGGAAGACAGTGGAAGCTGCATGGTCCTGAGGTCTGCTTGGGCCATGGTGCGTTTCAGATCCTAGCAGGCTCTCACATGAGATGACAAATAGCCGAATGGACAGGGTCAAAATTCGGAAGCACGGTCTGGATGAGGAAGGTACATTTGGGGAACATCAGCTTGGAGGGGTTTTAAAGACCTGAACTGCAGAGGCCGCAGAGCCAGCATCCTGGACTGGCCCTGAAGACCAGGCCCTGAAGAACGGGGAGCCTGCCAGGCGAGTGGGAGAAGGCAGCCCAGGTGGAAAGGGCATGAGCTCATGTCTTAGAGCCAGCAGGTGGGGTAGTGGTTGTAGTACTGGCCTCCCACGTGGCCAGTCACGGTTTGAGTCTCAGACCAGGCGGCTTGAAATGCACGCTGGGCACATGTGCATACATGGCCAAGGTCCAGAGAGGAGAAGGGATTGCGGTGTGGCCATCCCCACTGGAGGATGATTTCTGCCCTTCTCTCTCTGTCTCCAACAAGCACATATACCCTTTAGCAAAAATCCCTTAAAAGAAAAAAAGAATACGAATCTCTAACTTGTCAAAACCATGAAAACCATGGGGACCAGCAGTTAGCGTAATAGCTATGTCGCTGGACTCTCATGTAGTTGACCATGGTTCAAGTCCTGGACCCGGTGGCTTAAACTCATGCCAGGTGCGTGTGCGTGCATGCCCAAGACCTCAAGAGGAGAATAGTGGAGAAGGGATTGCAGTGTGGCCATCCCCCCGGGGGCTGATTTCTCACTTTCTGTCTCTCTGTCTCTCTCTGTCTTTCTGGCAAATGCACGTGCCCTATAGCCAAAAAAAAAAGAAAACATGAAAATCATCAAACACAAAGAAATTTGGAGAGACTGTCCCAGCCAAGGGGAGCCCAAGGGCACGTGACAACTCCATGTGGTGCGGTTCTCTGGAAGGGATCCTGGCACAGAAAAAGGGACATTAGGCTAAAATGAAGGCACTGCTTGAAGTGAGGACTTCACAGGTGATAACGTGTCACTCTTGGCTCATGAACTGTGACAGCAGTACCATGCCGCACACACGCGCATGCGCACGCACGTAAGATGTTAGTACAGGGATCTGGGTGTAGTACAAGGAAACTCCATGCCGCCATCCAAATTTTTCTCTAACATTAACCCCGGTCTAAAAACATAGTCTTTTTGTAAGAAAACAGTGTGCATCTCATAAATATGCCCCCCCCCCCATGTTCCAAGAACTATAGTAATTCATTTCTCTGAGGAGGCCTTGGACCCTGGCCAGTCCCTTCTGCGACCAGACGGTTCAGAGACATTACGAATATCTCCTCACTACCCCCTCCCACCTGCCAAGGAACAGAGGGTCCTCACCTCCTCCTACTTTTTTCTGTTTACAGAAAAAATACTCTCCTCAGGCCAGATTTCATAGTGAAAACGAGAAACAGAGGCTAAATGGCTCAGGTAAGTCAGACCCTTCCAGAGCTCCTTGGGTGCAGCCCGTGCTGACCAGCGTACCCTGCAGAGCACGCCCCTTAGCCGCCACGCTCTCGAGCTCCACTTTGCTCACAGCTGGTTCGTCCCTCCCACAGTGGAAGTTTGGGCACCCTCTAGATTCCAGCTCCACCTCCGCCACTAACTAGCCATGAGACCTCGGCCGAGTCACTTGAGGCTGATTTCTCTCACTTGTGAAATGTGGAACGACAACTCTAGCCTGGAGCTGTGCAGTGGGTTGAGTGGGATGGACTACAATCGGGGATCAGTTCACTCTCTGAAGGAAGGCTAGGAGATCGTGAAGGCCGAATGCCTGGCATCTGCCTGACACCCCATGACTGGTTATTGATGAGCCATGGTCAGCCGGGCTAATCGGTGAGGTTCCCTGAAGAGCGTGTCATCCTGGGACCCTGGGTGGTGTCTGAGGCGTGTCAGATGGCGCATCAGGACACCTGGTGGCGTCCGAGGGACAGAGAAGTAGAGACCTCTGAGTCAGAGCAAACACTGGGCTTGCGCAGTGGCCCAGGGCCGGCTAACGAGGGCGTGCATGGTAGTTGGTCTAAGAGGCGCCAAGGCTGGAGAGGAGGCAGAGGGAGGTGGGCCCCTGCGGCTGAGCCCCCAACAGCCAGCTCAAGATTTCCCTGCTGGAACAAAGGCCATCCAGTACCCTGGACAGCTCCAGGGGTGTGCCGATTTCAGGGGCACAGCCTGTGTGGACTGAGAACTGGGATGGATCCCTCTGAGGCTCCGTTCCCGCCTCTGTCAACTGGAGGTAGTGACTGCCCTTCAGGGCCGTGTGAGGAGTAAAGGCGACCAGGAGGCAGTGGAGCAGGTGACCAGGTCCACCCTGTGTGGCTTCAGAGGAATTGCTTAACCTCTCTGAGCCTCAGTGTCCTTGCCTCTGTGAAACTGGAGTGCTGACAGACCCTACAGGACACGAAGCACACGAGGAACATTCGTTTTTGTTTTAAAAGAAACTCAGCACAGTGTCAGACGGTAGATAATTCAACGTCTCAGCTTCTAACCAAACCACCAGGACGGCTTTGCCCCTCCCATCTTTAGACAATTCTGACAAGCCCTCCCCGTTCTGATTGTTAAAGGGACGCCACAGAACCTGAAAATCTCGGGAAGTCCCACAGAGGGACACTTTTTAATGTGTCAGCACACAGAGTTTGCTCTGTACCAGCCACAGTCGTAAGCACAAGGGCACGCGTGTACACACACACACACACACACACACACACACACACACCAGGCCGGGCGACTGCACAACCCCGGGAGAGAAGTACTTTGGTCATCCCCATTTTACAGATGAGGAAATAGGTTCTGTGAGATCGTGGGGTCACACAGCCCTTAACTGGTGGCGCTGGGATCTGATCCCAGGTATGGCACTTTCGAACCACACACCTCCTTGCAGCATTCAATGGGGCTCTGAGCCAAAGGACTGAGCCGAGTTGGCGGGAACCCTGGGCTAGGTCCTCAGCCAGACATTCTACCTGGGTGCAGACACCAGCCCTGGCCCCGGCCTCCGCCCTCCCTGGCAGCCCCCTCCGCGCCCTCTCCTGGCCCGCCCCTCCGGCCGCTGTAACCTGATCTGCGGCGGGTTTGGGTGGCCCGGCAGCAACGCCACCACCACCGAGCACTTGGGCTCCTCGGACCGTCCCACGGTGTTTACCCGGCGGTAGCAGGCGGACGGGGCATGGCGCAGAGGCAGGGCGAGTGGGCACGGGGGCCCGCTGAGGCCACCGGGCTCTACCGGGCCGTACTGCTCAGGTCTGGTAAGTGGACGCACCGGCGTCAGCCCCTGTCACCGCCGCGGCAGGGAGAGTGCAACCAGGGCGCAGCGGGCATGGTGCGTGACTCTGGCCAGCCGCCCGCTGAGCACCCAGCTCCCCGCTATTGCTTTCCCCCTTCCTTCCCTTCCCTTCCCTCTGCTGTTCTCTCTCAGTACTTTGAGTCCCTTCTTCCTTCCTTCTTTTCCTTTTTCCTTCCCTCTTTCCCCTTCCCTTCCTACAGTCATCCTTTCCGGGTCTGCCCGTGGCTCTGTTGCTCCTGAGCTGTGGAAGAACACACGCAGTTCCTTAATTACAAAAGTCCTGGGGCACCTGCTGGTTAATCTTCTAACCAAGACGCACCCAAGCGTGAGCAGGCGTCTGGCAGGCAGGAGAGGTTTGAGCCCTGAGAGGGGGAAAGACAGATCAGAGAAGGCGGTGGGGTGGGGGGAGCCCGCTGCGGTTGGGGGGCTGGGGAAGGGTGTACAATGGGGAGTCCCACCGGGGGCGGGCAGTTATTTATTTAGAGAAATGAAATCAATGTAATATAGTCAGTGTAAACAGAATGCGGAAGGGACCAGCAGATGGCGGAATGGTTATGTCACTGGAATCCCACTTAAGTTCACTCAGTGGCTTAAAACTCATGCCAGGTGCGTGTGCGTGCCCAAGATCCTGAGAGGAGAACAGGAGAAGAGAAGGGATTGAAGCATGGCCGTCCCCCCTGGGGGGTGATTTCTCACTTTCTATCTCTGCCTCTCCAGCGAGTGCACATGCCCTATGGCAAAACTCTCTTAAAGTAATAATAATGTGGAAACCATAGGGATGTAGGGAGGAAGATGCCTTCAGTAAGCCTCAGGGAAGATTCATTCTTGACTGGGGTTAGAAAGAGATGTCTGGAGGTGAAATGGGCCTGGGTCCCAGCCAGACAGGGGAATGTGATACGACGTATCAAGGTACGTGAGCTCGTGGGCCAGATACCCTCTGCCTTGGGCGAGGAGCCCCCACACCCCCACCCAGTAGTCTAGCCCACAGGCCATTGGAGCCAAAAGCGATGCCCTGTCCACCGCA